ACCCTAAAACCCTAAAACCCTAAAACCCTAAAACCCTAAAACCCTAAAACCCTAAAACCCTAAAACCCTAAAACCCTAAAACCCTAAAACCCTAAAACCCTAAACCCCTAAACCCCTAAAACCCTAAAACCCTAAAACCCGAAAACCCTAAAACCCTAAAACCCTAAAACCCTAAAACCCTAAAACCCTAAAACCCTAAAACCCTAAAACCCAAAACCCTAAAACCAAAACCCTAAAACCCTAAAACCCTCAAACCCTAAAACCCTAAACCCTAATCCCAAGTTCCGGAACGCTGGCATCCCCACCACCCTCACACCCATGTCGTAGGTTCAGGTTTGCAGGGTTGAGGGCTCAACCCAAGCAACCCTAAACCCAGCATTCCAGAGGCCCTAAACCCTAAACCCTAAACCCTAAACCCTAAACCCTAAACCCTAAACCCTAAACCCTAAACCCTAAACCCTAAACCCTAAACCCTAAACCCTAAACCCTAAACCCTAAACCCTAAACCCTAAACCCTAACCCTTCAATTTTCCGACCCCGAGCCACAGGGTTTGCGGGGCCCCTGAGATGATTCTTTCTAGGGGTCTCCGGAAACGCGCGCAGGATCCGGCCGCTCCCGACAGCGAGCCGCCAGCTTCCAAGCACGCTCAGGGTTTAGGGTTTTAGGGTTTTAGGGTTTTAGGGTTTAGGGTTTAGGGTTTAGGGTTTAGGGTTTAGGGTTTAGGGTTTAGGGGTGTGTTGGGAGGTGTTTGTTTTGGGTTCTCTGTCAGAACGCAATCCTGTTTTAGTATTTCCTGCAAAATGCAGAAGGAACCCCAAGACCCCCCCATCAGCCTCTAGGGTTTAGGGTTTAGGGTTTAGGGTTTGGGGTTTGGGGTTTGGGGTTTGGGGTTTGGGGTTTGGGGTTTAGGGCCACACCCCAAACCCTGAAGCCCTAAATCCGTACAAGCGCCCGCCTCCGGACTTCCTTGGACGGAGAGGTCTGGTCTTTGTCACAACTCGGTGGAAGATTTCATGGCCGGCCTCAGCAAGGCAACATGACATGATGCAGGGTTTCTAGGTAGGCCCTTATGCATTTTAGTTTTCTTAAGAGGATCATACTCAGGAAGCCTAAACCCTAAACCCTAAACCCTAAACCCTAAACCCTAAACCCTAAACCCTAATTCAACCCTAAACCTAGGAATCAGTTTCAGAGGGTTTTTCAGGGCCATCCTAGCTTGACATTGCTGGTATTGGTGAGTGAGAGCCCTAAACCCTAAACCCTAACCCTAAACCCTAAACCCTAAACCCTAAACCCTAAACCCTAAACCCTAAACCCTAAGACTATGTCTTTTGCACCATGGTGCAACCCTGGGCCTTCTTACCTCGAAGGCCCCCCACCCCCCCCTAGGGTTTAGGGTTTAGGGTTTAGGGTTTGGGGTTTGGGGTTTGGGGTTTAGGGTTTAGGGTTTAGGGTTTAGGTGTTTAGGGTTTAGGGTTTGGGGTTTAGGGTTTAGGGTTTGGGGTTTGGGGTTTAGGGTTTAGGCCCCCCTTGCTTCGGGTTTAGGGTCGACAGGGCTTAGGGCTTCGTAGCCGTCAGGCGCGTGATGCCTTCGAAGTCATCGCTGCGGTCCCAGGGAACGCCTCGCCTTGTGCAGTTGCAAGATTAGGGTTTAGGGTTTAGGGTTTCGGGTTTCGGGTTTCGGGTTTCGGGTGGTTTTGCTAGCTACACCTGGGACTTTTGACTCCTGGCCGGAGCCTCACGCCTGTACCCAACGAATGACCTGTCTTGGAGATATCTTGTAAGTCAGTTGCTCACTGTAGGAGACCCCTAACCCTAAACCCTAAACCCCAAACCCCAAACCCTAAACCCCAAACCCTAAACCCTAAACCTGCACAGGTGAGCCTGTCTCCAGGCCCCCAGAAGCATGGGGAGCAGCCGAAGCTCCTGCCCCAGATCCTGTCTTTTCAGAGTCTAGAGCTTGGGGTGTAGGGTTTAGGGTTTAGGGTTTAGGGTTTAGGGTTATTGCTTTGGGTTTAGGGTTTAGGGTCTAGGGAGAAAGGTTGAGGGTGTATAGGTAGGGCTTAGGTTTCGAGATGGTTGGGCCGCATGTTGCACGCTTTTAGCCTTCAGCAGATAGAATCCAGGTTGCGGAATGTCGAAGAAAACTCCCAGAGAACTCATATGTGGGTTTACGAGAATAGGGGACCCGAATATAGCCCCCCCCCCCCCCCCCCCAAATCGTCGGATTCCCTTATCATGAGGACCCCAATAAGGTACCTCTAACTTCGGAAACCCCCATATCCTGTTTACTCGAGGGCCCGAAGTGTCTACTTGACTAAACTCGGCTGTGAGATGCTGGATGTCACCAACCCAACGCTTGGCCAACTGTTGAGAAAAAGTGCATAGAGAACCCTAAACCCTAAACCCTAAACCCCAAACCCTAAACCCTAAACCCTAAACCCTTTCCCCCCTCCCCCTAAACGCATCCCGGAGGTCTGCCCCTTTGCCAATCACCGAAGTGGAAGGCGCGCCTCAATGGGAACTACGAGGTTTTCTTGGCCATCTTCTGGCCCGTTAGGGTTGAGGGTTTAGGGTTTAGGGTTTAGGGTTTAGGGTTTAGGGTTGAGGGTTTAGGATTTAGGGTTTAGGGTTTAGGGTTTCAGATTCATAGGACTCTGAGATCGGGTCGCTGTACATTCCTCTTGAGGAGCCGAAAGGCTTGACTTTTATGGGATGGTGTGAGAGGACCGTTTGAAGACCAGAGGAATCAGCATGGGCGTGGGGCGCACACACGATGTAACTTGCGCATGCGGCTGCGCCTGCGCGTACCCTAAACCCTAAACCCTAAACCCTAAACCCTAAACCCTAAACCCTAAACCCTAAGTGTGCACGCGCGTGTGTAGATATTTCTCGAGGCGCCTTTCGGGTAATGCTTGCACATGGTCCTGAGCTCGAGGACCAAGCGAACCCGAAAAGGGATCATGGTTCATATGCTACTATTTGCTTAAGAGCCACCAAAAATAAACTAGAATCTTCCTCATAAAAACAATAGTGATTATGATGTTGTTGTTTTTTTTGGGGGGGGGTTCTTGAGCAAATAGCAGTATACCTTCATAGTTTGCGTGGTTCATTTACTTGCCTAACATGTACTTTCTTACGATTGTAGTAGTTCATATACTTTCTTAGGATGAATAGTAGTATAGGCTATATGACCCCAATTTTAGGGTTCTTTCGGACCCCAAGGGGGGTTCATTTTTCGAACTGCCGCCCGTGAAGCTACATGGTTTCCTCGCACGCTGATGTCGACTCGATGTGAAGAAACCCTAAACCCTAAAGCGCTAAAGCCCTAAACCCTAAACCCTAGAGCAAGATCCGTGCGTGCGTTGATGCATGAATTTGTTGCCATTTTGGGAGGTTTGGCAGCAGCCCACGTCGTAGTTCTCCTTGGCTCCTTATAGGCCATGGCAGGCAATGCGGCCATGAAGAAGACGCCGCTCTATAAGGACAAGTTTGTGGAGATCTACTCTGACCACATGCAACTTAGGGGTATTTGGAAGCAATTTTTAGTTTTTTGGCACTTTAATTCCTATAAGAAGCAGCTAAGAGTATGATTTTTACTAGGGTTCCACGTTCAGTATAGGCAGATCAAGTCCTACTACTTCCCATTGGGAAGGGAGAAGAGGGTCGACATACCTTCTCAGCCTTCTCACTCTGGCGCAGTTAGCTCCTCGAGAGACCAAAGGAACCTTGAAAGGGTTCAGCTTTCATATGGGTTCAAGAACGAATATGATGATAGTAGTACCCGAAAAGGGTTTGTTGTTCATATACCTTAACAGGATTACACTAGTGCCCTAAAAGGGTTTGTCGTTCATATACCTTCATCGGCTTCTTGTAGTATAGGGTGAGTATAGTGGTACTCTAAACGGGTTTGTGGTCCATATACCTTAATGGGATTACAGTAGCATACGGCATCTCTGGCCTTATGGTTCATATACCTTAATCGGATTACAGTAGTATAGGGTCTATGACCTTATGGTTCATATACCTTAATAGGATTGCAGTAGCATAGGGTATACCCCTAAACCCTAAACCTAAACCCTAGACCCTAAACCCTAAACCCTAAAACCTAAACCCTAAACCCTAATCCCTAAACCCTAAACCCTAAACCCTAAACCCTAAACCCTAAACCCTAAACCCTGCCTATGCCCCCCCCCCCCCCCCCCAATTTGAGGGGCCCACTCTTGGGATCCGCAAGGCTTTGCCACCGATCGAGATCTGGACTTCACCTGGCTGGACTGGAAAGCATGGGGCATGGCTCCGAACAATGCTCCTGGCACTTATTTCTACCACCTATTACGTATAACGCGGAATACGGTTAACATTATTTGGAGAGTTCTTAAGCAAATAGTAGATGGCTCCGAACAATGCTTCTGGTCTTATTTCTTTGTAGGCCCTTGGGATATTGTACATGTTCCCTTGCTGGGTCTAAGAGGATCATATTCATGAATGTGTTCGGGGTTGTAGGGTTTAGGGTTCTTTAACTATTTGTTTTATATTTTTGGATTTTTTTTTTTTTTTTTGGGGGGGGGGGGGGGTCTGGGTAGGTTGCTTTAACAAGTAAGTGACGAACCCCAAGAGACTACTGAAACCTATTCCTTGTATTTTCAACTTAGTTTTGTCAGTGTGGAAACCCGAACACCCTAAACTGCAGCTCCGTCAGAGACTCCGTGGTCAAGTGAAGTAATCCTGGGGCCAAAATGAACCCCCGAAATGGCTCAAGGTCCGTAAACTCTAGAAAGGATTATGGCAATAAACTAACGTCCTAAACCTTCAACCCGAAACCCTAAACCAGCAACATAAACCCCAATCCCGAAACCCTAAACCCAAAGCCCTTAACCCTAAACCCTAAACCCTGAACCCTAAACCCTAAACAACAGCAGAAGAACACACACATGCCGAGGTTTGGTGGGCCTCAGACCGACGTCGCGGCTCTGTGGGCAGGCATCGGAACTTGGGCATCGTGGTCACCGTGGGCAAGGAGCCGGGTATGGGGTTTAGGGTTTAGGGTTATAGGGTTTAGGGTTTAGGGCCGGGTTTAGAGTTTATCAGGTTTCTGGGGTTCATGGGATTTATCGGGTTTAAAGGGTTTATAGGTTGTGATAAGCCTTATAGGGCTTTATAGGGTTTTAAAGGGGTTTTATAGGGTTTATTGGGTTTATTGGGGTTATGGGGTCTATGGGATTTATGGGGTTTACGGGGTTTGGGCTACCTGAACCCCAGACTTAAAGCCGCGCGGCCCGTCCTGCACATGGTGGTTTCGCTACATTATGGTCCCTGTTTGGGTATCCTAGATATGAGGGCTTGCCTTATAATGGGAATCTCCAAGAATTTCCCGGCGTCACAGTTGCACGCATGGACCCTACGATGCTCAAGTCCGGAAGCCATGATCCAGGAGAGAATCCGCAAGGGCTTCAGCGTGGAAGATGACCAAGCGGCATTGAAAGTTCTCGACGGCTTGTTGCTAGGATGCCCAGTAGTACCCTTATTCCCTTTTTGGTAGGTTTAGGTTCCCTTATAAACCCCTTTAAGCAAAAAAGGGCACCCTTTTTCATCCTAGGTTACTGGGCAACCTAGGTTGCCAAGAACAGCACAGAACAACCCGGCCTGATGAAACGCCTCAAGATTTTGCTGATCGACTAGCCAAGGGGCTGCGATCTCTACCGTGCTCAACAGTAGCCTACCGTTGGGGACCAGATGAACCCTAACCTTGAGGTCATAAATCCTATACATATACGACTTTTGTCCGATTAGTTTCAGGGTTTTTGAACCATCAACCCTTTTAGGGTTCATTTGGTCCTCAAGGACCTGTAATACCTGTACAGGCGATGTGAAATGCACCCATTCGCCGCAATCTTCGAAGGGGGGCTTTTGATCGCAGGCCGGGGATGTGTATCTCAGGGTATCTCAGTGATATGGGGAGTTTCCGCAAGTTGGGTGACCCTTCTCGGAAACCTCCAAGTGAGTAGTAGTCTTGACGGCTCTTGTAAAGCCACTGCGGAGCCAGGCAAAGCCTACTTGCTAAACATGTCGTGAAGATCCAGGGGCCCTAAACCCTAAACCCTAAACCCTGAACCATAGATTCATTACAGCTGGGCTTCCCCTGTACAGAAACTACAAAAAGCGCGCCCCTCTGGTGGAAGCTAGACCATCAGATCCCCACCCCTGACTCCACCCCCACCCACCCCAAACCACGGTTTAGGATTTCGGGCTCTGGGGTTGAGCAAGCAACCAACACACAAGACCCCAGGACCCTAAACCTTACACTGCTCTTAGGGCAGTTTCATGGGCCCTTCATATGGCCCCAGACCTCCTTTAAAGCCTCTTGATGTTGGGCCCTGAATTTGTGTCGGGTATCTAGGGGGTACATCACGGGTACCCTTTTACAGGGCCCATACTAAGGGACCATGTAACAAACCCTAAACCCTAAACCCTAAGCCCTAAACCCTAAACCCTAAACCCTAGGTTTTAAGGGACCAAGTAACTACCCAAACGAACTGTTGAGATCGTGAAAGTCCACCATGCATAGGGTTTAGGGTTTAGGGTTCAGGGTTTAGGGTCTAGGGTTTAGGGTTTAGGGTTTAGGGTTCAGGGTTTAGGGTTCAGGGTTTAGGGTCTAGGGTTTAGGGTTTAGGGGTGCATCTGACGGATCGGCGCTCCTGACACCTTAAACCTCAAGCCGCTCAGAGCCCGGCAATCTTGACGTGAAATTCCCGATAAACCCTAAACCTTAAACCCGAAACCCCTAACCCTAACCCCCCCCCCCAAAAAAAAAAAAAAAAGAACCATAAATCTCTATCATAAGGCCTTAAACCCTGCGAAGTCTGCAAACCCCCGGAACCGGATCCCCTGAATTTGGATACGCGAGTCGCCCCCAAGGTTGAGGGATTAGGATTTGGGCTTTAGGATTTAGGGCTTAGGATTTAGGGTTTAGGGTTCAGGGTTTAGGGCTTAGGGTTTAGGGTTTAGGGTTTAGGTTTTAGGGTTTAGGGTTTAGGGTTTAGAGAACCAATTGTTGTAGCCGCTAAAACCGACAAATCCTTGTGGCACTACGCACCCCATAAAGCCCTTCCCTGTGTCTGGGGACCCCGACCAGCCTGGACTTCAACGCTATACACAATGCCTAAACCCTAAGCCCTAAGCTTAGGGTCCCTAAACCCTATTTATAAACCCTAACAAGCCCTGCAAACCCTCTAAACCCTAAACTAAAGGGCCGGCTCTCGGGGACGAATTTAAACAACTCATCGGGGGGTGGGCGGGACGGGGGGTTGGGGGGACGGAGGGTTGGGTTTCAATCTGTTGGCAGTGAAACTCGACCCGGTCATGGTAACCAATCTGCACGCTCCTGTCGACTCGATGTTAGCAGACCTAAAACCTAAACCCTAAACCCTAAACCCTAAACCATCGACCAAGTCTTATTGCCGCGCCTTTCTTGCCATTTTGGGAGGTTTTGGCAGCAGCCCACGTCCTAAGCTCTCCTGGGCTTCCTTGTAGGCCATGGCAGGCAATGCGGCCATGAAGAAGACGCCGCTCTATAAGGACAAGTTTGTGGAGATCTACTCTGACCACATGCAACTTAGGGGTCTTTGGAAACATTTTTCCCATTTTTTGGGCACTTTCATTCCCATAAGAAGCAGCCTTAGCATTTTAACTTTTGCTAGAGTTCCCCAAAAGCTCAGTATAGGCAGATCAAGTCCTACTACTTCCCCTTGGGAAGCTTGGTAGGCCCAAGTGGTACTCTTTTCCCCTTTTTTGTTGGTTCTGGTTCCCTTATAAAGCAAGCAACCAAAAAAAGAATTTAGGGTTTAGGGTTTAGGGTTTAGGGTTTGGGGTTTAGGGTTTAGGGTTTAGGGTTTAGGGTTTAGGGTTTAGGCTTTTACCTGCGCTACCAAAAAGGAAGGGACAAGAGGGTCGAGATCCCTTCGCGCTCGGGCGAAGTCAGCTTCGCCACCGACCGGGATCTGGACTTCACCTTCCTGGACTTGAAAGTCTGGGGCATGGCGCCGAACAGCGCTTCTGGGACATATGTATATACATATATTTATATATGCTATATATATATATATACTACCTTTAAAGAACCCCCCCCCCCAACAAAAAAACAGATAAGAGAAATTATATACTGCCTAGATTATCCTTCTGAGGCAGAAGACTTTTGGGCTTCCAGCCTTTGTCAGTGTGGAGCCGGAAGTTCAGCAAATCCCGACTCCTCCCTGAACCCTAAGCCATGTTCTTGGCGATCCTAAGGCGGCAGGGGCTTGGGTCCTGGGGTTGGCACTTGAGTTTAGGGTTTAGGGTTTAGGGTTTAGGGTTTAGGGTTTAGGGTTTAGGGCCTAGGGCTTAGGGATTTGGAACTTGCGATCGCATCTTGCAGGCTTTCGAGCCGGGTGAGCTGTCAAAAGCTCTGTAAACCCTAAACCCTAAACCCCAAATTTACAGCACTGTTGTTGCAGCATTTGCAGGCAGAGGAGGGTTGCTAGCGGCACTGACGTTAGGGGGTCCACCATACCTTCATCGATGCGGACGGTAGCATACGATCCCCATCAAAGGGTTCATTCAGTCGCCAACCTAACCCTAAACCCTAAACCCCAAACCCTAAACCCTACACCTCGAAAGTGCCTCGAAACTTATAAATCTTCATAGATCAAGTCCGAGGTTTGGTGGGCATCAGACCGACAGCGCGGCTCTGTGGGTAGGCATCGGAACTTGAGCATCGTGGTCACTGTGGGCAAGGAGCCGGTTATAGGGTTTAGGGTTTCCCGTTCCTGTTCCTGAGCGTGAAGGTCCGAGTCGAACGTGACGCTATTGCATCTAATTAAGGTGAAACAACCCTCGGGGAAACACATGCCCAATTAAACCCGGCAACCCTTGGAGGTTGTTCCGGATGAGTGTGCCCAGCAAATGTACTGCACATGTGGAGCCCCATCCTCAAACATAGACCTAAGACGAACAACGCAGGTAGAAGCTTTGCCCTCAACCTGCATCCCCACAAGTTCGCGCGCATGTCATGCTAAGCCTCAGTGCTGGACCGCAGGTCGTAAGGCGCCGCTGGCTTCTCGGCATCTCTGGTCATCGGCCATCGGCCGCCGTGCCGTGGCATAGGAAAAGAAAGGTCCTTGCCCGCGAAAATCCCCGCCAGCTTCGGGAAGCGGCTCTTCTCCGACAGCGTGTGCCCATCTTCCTGGCACCTTCACCACCGTCTTCGCCGCCTCGATGTCCTCCTGAGACGGGCCCTCAAGGCGTTGTAGCTTTCCGAGCAATTCCTGAGCCCACGGATGATGGCGTCCACCGGGACCCACTTTGCCCATCTTGAGCTCGAGGCTCATGTAGGGCTCCATCCACTGCTTGCTGGGGATCCAGCCTGGGATCTTGTTGATCATGGTCGTCGCATCGCGTCCGTTCTTCACGTGAGCGCGGACATTCACGATGTCGCGGTCAGAGTTGTTGTTGACGGCAGAGTCCGTGCTGGTTATCCTGACGTCCGCTACCACTTTCACCTCGGCCAACATGTATCATCTATCATAGGGCCTTGCCACCAAGTAATTAACAGCCGAATCCTGCTGACTGCTATCCGCATCAGCAAGGATCCGATCGTGCAGTTCGGTGAAGAGCAGTCTGAAATGCCTTCCGACTGCTGCTGAGAGTCCCAGAGGCGTTCGACGCGGCCTCGGCTCCCACATATCCCCTCCGCGTGCATGGCATGATTTTCCCACAGCAATCACAAGGCGTTGCAAAGGCGGCAACTGCAATACGAGCTCCACCATCTGACGGCCTCGAACTAGTTCCCACCTACCGCTGAGTGCCTCGACTGCCAGGTTAGCCAAATGTCGTATCCCGGTCTTGCGATTTTGAAAGATCAACACCAGTGTAGCGTTGCAGATGCTCTCGCAGACCTTTCAGCGATAATCCCCCATCAGGGCCAATCAGTTTAGGAACGCGCTCACCGATATGCCTAAGCAACACATCCTCCGGGATGCGGCCATGCATTTGACAGAACGTCTGGGAGATCTGCGGCGCACTATCGTCCTGGAAATGGGCCTTGAGGTTATCATTCATGCTAGGATGCCCAGTAGTGCCCTTATTCCCTTTTTGGGGACTCTAGGTTCCCCTATAAACCCCTTTAAGCAAAAAAGGGGCACCCTTTTTAATTCTAGGTTACTGGGCAACCTAGCATGTCACCGGACGCACCCTTTCCCATGGGCGGGCGATAAACGGGGTGCTGGGGCCGCAGTGGTGCCGCGCTATTGCGGCGATCTGGGCCCTGGTATAAGGTGTAGGGTTTAGGGTTTAGGGTGATAGGGTTTAGGGTTATAGGGTTTAGGGTTTCAGGTTTAGGGTTTAGGGTGCCACTCAACAAACCCCGAAACTTCAACCCCGCCCATCCCCCCCTGTCTTGCATGTCCCACTACTTGGGGGTCTGGCTTGAGATCTACTCACTCATGCCTAAGGTTTGGGGATAGCAAGCAGGGTCTGTGAGTGAAGGTGTGCTACATGAAGTTGGTACTTGGTACCACAGACGTATCTCTGAAAAGCATGTTGCTCAAGTCTGGAAGCAATGATCCAGGAGAGAATCCGCAAGGGCTTCAGCGTGGAAGATCACGCAGCGGCACTGAAAGTTCTCGACGGTTTGCTGCCAAGAACAGCACTGAACAACCCGGCCTGATGCACAGATTGAGCTACCAAAAACCTGTGGTCTCTACGTGCTCAGAAGTAGCCGACCTGTACAGGATGTATAGAAAATCAGCCTGCCACTGCAAAATCGGCAGTGGGGCTTGTTCGCTGCACCAGGCCGGAGACTTTAGTTTAGTATACTAATTGCTTAAGAACCCCAAACAATGAAAATATTTTCCTTATGAAGGGTAGTATAGGGGTTATTGTTTTTATTCTTTTGGGGTTCTTAAGCAACCTGCAGTTTAGTGATATGGGCTTGGTAGCCCCGTGGTGCCCTCTGCCCGTTTCTCGGTTCAAGGTTCCCAGATAAAGTAGCCAACCCCCAAAAATTTGTGATATGGTACCGGGGCTACCAAGAGGGGGGTTTCCGCAAGTTTTTCGCGCTCCCCATCCTTGTGACCCTTCTCAGGGGAAAGACGGCTCTTGTAAAGGCACCTTGCTGAGTCGCGCAAACAACCTCCTTGTTGTGAAGTGCCAGCGACCCTAAACCCCAAACCCTACGGCCTAAACCCCAGAACCTTCACCCTAAACCCTAAACCCCAAGCCGAAAACCCCAAACCTGCACAACTTGCTCATCAGGGCTTCGGCTGCCATTTCTGGGCCTACGGCTTCTACCTGACGCCCTATCACCCTAAACCCGAGTCCCTATTGTCCTATATGTCTAAAGTCTTATGGCTAAGGGGGTGTGGGGTTTAGGGTTTAGGGCTTAGGGTTTAGGATTTAGGGCTTGGGGTTTAGAGAACAAGTGGATGCAAGCCATCCACGCTCCTTAACACCGACAAATCCTTGTGGCACTTTGCACCCTTTAAAGCCCTTCCCTTAAGTCTTTTGGTGCCCCGACCTGCCTGGACCCTTATCACCGCTATGTACACCTTCTAATCCCTAAGCCCTAAACCCCCCTTAGCCCTAAACCCAAACCTCAAAACCCTGAACCCTAAACCCTAACCCCTCAACCCCAAACCCAACACCCTAAACTCTAAACCTAACCCCTGACCCCTGAACTGCAAACCCTAAACCCCAAGCTTCGGGGGCCAACCCTGTAACAACCCTGGAGTCCCTACACCCCATAAACCCCATAGTTAAGCCCTACAAACCCTAAACCCTAAACCCTAAACCCTAAACCCTAAACCAAAGGGCCGGCTCTAGGGGACGCAGTCTACAGCGTTTGCGGGCCCTGCCCCTTGTGGCCATTTCGGGAAGTTTTGGCAGCGGCCCACGGGACCTACGTCCTAAGCTCTCCTGGGCTTCCTTGTAGGCCATGGCAGGCAATGCGGCCATGAAGAAGACGCCGCTCTATAAGGACAAGTTTGTGGAGATCTACTCTGACCACATGCAACTTAGGGGTCTTTGGAAACATTTTTCCCATTTTTTGGGCACTTTCATTCCCATAAGAAGCAGCCTTAGCATTTTCACTTTTGCTAGAGTTCCCCAAAAGCTCAGTATAGGCAGATCAAGTCCTACTACTTCCCCTTGGGAAGCTTGGTAGGCCCAAGTGGTACTCTTTTCCCTTTTTTGGTTGGTTCTGGCTCCCTTATAAAGCAAGCAATCAACAAAGGGTTTAGGGTTTAGGGTTTAGGGTTTAGGGTTTAGGGTTTAGGCTTTTACCTGCGCTACTAATTAAGGAAGGGACAAGAGGGTCGAGATCCCTTCGCGCTCGGGCGAAGTCAGCTTCGCCACCGACCGGGATCTGGACTTCACCTTCCTGGACTTGAAAGTCTGGGGCATGGCGCCGAACAGTGCTTCTGGGACATATGTATATACATATAATATATATATATATATAACATAATATATATATATACTACCTTTAAATAACCCCCCCCCCAAAAAAAAAAAGATAAGAGAAATTATTCCTTCTGAGGCAGAAGACTCTTTTTTTTTAATTCTTGGGGTTAATCCCGCAAGACAGAGACTTTTGGGCTTCCAGCCTTTGTCAGTGTGGAGCCGGAAGTTCAGCGAATCCCGAATCCTCCCTGAACCCTAAGCCATGTTCTTGGCGATCCTAAGGTAGGCAGGGGCTTGGGTCCTGGGGTTGGCACTTGAGTTTAGGGTTTAGGGCTTAGGGCTTAGGGCTTAGGGATTTGGAACTTGCGATCGCATCTTGCAGGCTTTCGAGCCGGGTGAGCTGTCAACAGCTCTGTAAACCCTAAACCCTAAACCCTAAACCCTAAACCCTAAACCCTAAACCCTCAACCCTAAACCCTAAACCCTAAACCCTAAACCCTAAACCCTAAACCCTAAACCCTAAACCCTAAACCCTAAACCCTAAACCCTAAACCCTAAACCCTACGCCTCGAAACTTAAATCTTCATAAGTCAAGTCCGAGGTTTGGTGGGCATCAGACCGACAGCGCGGCTCTGTGGGTAGGCATCGGAACTTGAGCATCGTGGTCACTGTGGGCAAGGAGCCGGTTAGAGGGTTTTAGGTAGCCGGTTAGAGAGTTGTAGGGTTTAGGGTTCAGGGTTCAGGGTTTAGGGTGCCACTCAAAAAACCCGAAACTTCAACCCCCAAACTTCAACCCCCAAACCCTGCCCCCCTTTCCCCCCTGTCTTGCATGTCCCACTACTTGGGGGTCTGGGCTTGAGATCTACTCACTCATGCCTAGGGTTTGGGGATAGCAAGCAAGGTCTGTGAGTGTAGGTGTGCTACATGAAGTTGGTACTTGGTACCATAGACGTATCTCTGAAAAGCATCTTGCTCAAGTCTGGAAGCAATGATCCAGGAGAGAATCCGCAAGGGCTTCAGCGTGGAAGATCACGCAGCGGCACTGAAAGTTCTCGACGGTTTGCTGCCAAGAACAGGACTGAACAACCCGGCCTGATGCACAGATTGAGCTACCAAAAACCTGTGGTCTCCACGTGCTCAGAAGTAGCCAGGATGTATAGAAAACAGCCTGCCACTGCGAACTCAGCAGTGGGGTTTGTTCGCTGCACCAGGCCGGAGACTGTAATCCCTTCCCCCTAATATTAATACACCCCTAATTTGAAAACCCCTTTGGCCACAAAACCCGGCCCGGCAGTCGCCCCTTTTAGTATCTCTACAGAATTAGGGGACGGGGAAGCCTGAAACTTATTCGGCCTAAAGCTTGAAACCTAATCTATGACTGAGCCAGCAAGCTAGAAGGACTGGTTGTTTTGTTCGGACAAACGATCAGAACCCCCCCTAATAATGAACACACTTTAGGGGTTTTGGGGGGTTTTATATTGCGGGGGTGGGGGGGGGGGCCTTTAATATTAGGGGAAGGGATTAGTTTAGTGGTTTGGGCTTGGTAGCCCCGTGGTACCCTTTGCCCGTTTTTCGGTTCAAGGCTCCCATATACGGTAGCCAACCCCTCCCAAAATGGGGTGTGCTCTTATTCTGATATGGTTCCTGGGCTACCAAGAGGGGGGTTTCCGCAAGTTTGTCGCGCTCCCCGTCCCTGTAACCCTTCCTGCCGGGGAAACCCCATGTGAGCGACTTGGCTCTTGTAAAGGCACCTCGCAGAGCAAAAAAACCTCCTGGTTGTGAAGTGCCAGCGACCCTAAACCCCAAGCCGAAAGCCCCAAACCTGCACAACTTGCTCAACAGGGCTTCGGCTGCCATTTTGGGCCTACGGCTTCTGCCTGGCACCCTATCGCCCTAAACCCGAGTCCCTATTGTCCTATGTGTCTTAGGTCTTATGGAGGGTTTAGGGTCCCCCTTGTTAAAGGAAACTACTGAAGGTTCTTTCTGCTTAGGGTCGGTCTCAGATGATGGCCTTGCATTACAGGCGGACATCAGGAAGAACCACGTCCTGCTCAACGGGAACACAGCGTAGGAGGTCGCTGGTGAATTCGAAGTGCAAACGAGTCAGAGTTCAGGGTGTAGGGTTTAGGGTTTACGGGAAACTTGTAGTTAACTCGGCTTTCGCAAACATGTTACTTCGACGAAAATCTAGCAAATTATTTCCAATTTTTGCTACTCGGATACCAAGTGACCAAAATTCGATGCAAAAACCTTTCGGCCTAGAATGCACCCACGAAAGCCTCACACTCCATTTCCCTAGACCCTAAACCCTAAACCCTAAACCCTAATGCTGGACCCGAGCGTCTTCGATTTTGAAGGGAAAACTCGCACTTCATAAATTTTGTTTCAGACACAAGTCTGGACCCGAAGCTCCTCGATGAGAAAGGCTCTTTGGCCTTAAACCCTAAACCCTAAACCCTAAAACCTAAACCAGTTGTCTACTCGCCTGCGACTCTGGGGTCGATAGCTGTCGATGAGAAGCGGCCCTCAGCGGAAGCTGAAGGGTTCAGGGTTTAGGGTTTAGGGTTTAGGGTCTAGGGTCTAGGGTTTAGGGCTTAGGGTTAGCCCGCACGCTTCCTACTGGGATACGACTTTGAGCCTCAATCGCCTTAAGAACAGAAACCCTACTTTTTGTAGGTTCTTAAGGATTCTTAGGCAACCAAAATGGTATAGGGTTTAGGGTTTGGGTTTAGGGTTTAGGGTTTAGGGTTTAGGTTTAGGGTTTAGGGTTTAGGGTTTAGGGTTTAGGGTTTAGGGTTTAGGGTTTAGGGTTTAGGGTTTAGGGTTTAGGTTTAGGGTTTAGGGTTTAGGGTTTAGGGTTTAGGGTTTAGGGTTTAGGGTTTAGGGTTTAGGGTTTAGGGTTTAGGGTTTAGGGTTTAGGGTTTAGGGTTTAGGTTCTTATGTTCGAACCTCTTATAGGGTTCTTAGGCAACCAAAATTAAAATGGTATAGGGTTTGGGTTCTTAAGCTGTTCGATGTGCTAATTTTGGTATGGCTGGCTTGGGTTCAGCTGGCTATGGTCTCAGCTAGCTGTGAGTTTTTGGCGCGGTCTTCGGGCTTAGGGTTTAATTAGGGTTTAGGGCTTAGGGTGCCACACCCTAAACTCCACGCCCTTAACTCCAAATCCTAAACCCTGAACCCACCTCCCAAAAAAGACTAAAAATAGTCGATACCTTCAACAACCTTAAACCCTAAACCCTAAACCCTAAACCCTAAACCCTAAACCCTACACCTTCAGGGGCTCCCATGTACAGCAGGCCCGGGCCCTCCACCCGATGAAGCGCCGCCCTCGCGGGGCTCTATCGACCGGACCAGTACCTCGAGGTTGGCGGGGTTTGGGGTGTTAGGGTTTTAGGGTTTTTTAGGGTTTTTTAGGGTTTTTAGGGTTTTTTAGGGTTTTTTAGGGTTTTTTAGGGTTTTTTAGGGTTTTTCGGGTTTTGGGGGTTTTAGGGTTTTTTTAGGGTTTTTTGGGTTTTGGGGGTTTTGGGGTTCTAATTAGGGTTTAGGGTTTAGGGTTTCGGGTGTTAGGGTTCTGGGGTGTTGGGGCTGTATTAAGTTTGATTGTTAGGGTTTAGGGTTTAGGGTTTAGGGCTCAGGCTTCAGGGTTTAAAGTTTGGAGCTCGGAGGGGGTTTATGGTGTAGGGTTAGAGTTTAGGGATTTTGGGGGTTTCGAGGTCTACGGAGTTCAGCTGCTTCTTTTGGAGGCTTTTCGGATCCCGCTTCTGTGATGACCCTAAACCCTAAACCCTAAACCCGTTTAGCTCGCGGGCTTGTTTTTTGGTTTAATGCTTAGGGTTTGGGACTTGTAGGGCTTTAAACTTGTGAGCATAACGCCTAAACCTTAGGCACCTAAGCCCCTAAACTTTAAGCCCTAAACCCCTAAACCCCGAAGCCCCTAAGTCCTAAACCCAACAAACAGCCAGTTCGCGTTACTCTTCCATTCTCTCAGCCCAGTCTTCAAGCAATATGAGCATTTCCCAACATAGGGGTACCCCGTTTTATACCCCTATTTCCGGAAACCACCACATCGAATCTCAAGCTCGAAGCTCGGGAAATCCCCAACCCCAAACCCTAAACCCCAAACCCCAAACCCCAAACCCCAAAGCCTAAACCCTGAACCCCAAACCCTAAACCCTAAACCCTAAACCGCAAACCCTAAACCCTAAACCCTAAACCCTACACCCTAAACCCTAAACCCTAAACCCTAAACCCTAAACCCTCAAGATGTTTTGAATAACTCTGGGAAGGCCCTCGACAGGGCCGCTGCGCCCTCGCCGGCCCCCAAAGGCTCCGGCACCGCCTTCGGCGCCCACGCTGGGGAGCCTTGGGCCGCGCCAGAGAGGTTTAGGGTTTGGGGTTTAGGGTTTGGGGTTTGGGGTTGAGGGTTTAGGGTTTGGGGTTTAGGGTTTAGGGTTTGGGGTTTAGGGTTTGGGGTTTAGGGTTTGGGGTTTGGGGTTTAGGGTTTGGGGTTTCGGTTTTGGGGTTTAGGGTTTAGGGTTTGGAAATTCAGGTTTTAGGGTTTAGGGTTTATGGTTTTGGGGATTGGGGGTTGGGGGTTTGGGGCTTAGGGCTTAGGGCTTTGGCTTCGGCTTTGGGGTTGGGTTTCGGCTTTTCAGTTTTAGGTTGCATGGGGTTTTGGAGGGCTTGTCGGGTTTGCAGGGTTTGTGCTTTCATTTTGGGAGTTGGGATGGCCGCTCTTGGGAAGTGGCAGCCCATGCACCAGAGCCACGAAGCACTATTTGGGGTTCAGGGTTTGCGGGTTAGGGGTTTAGGGTTCAGGGTTTAGGGTTGAGGGTTGAGGGTTAACCACTCGATGTTCCCCCTTATACTAGCAGTCCTGCATAGTGATTAGAGTACCCCGCACGATGATCCCTATTAAGGGCTGTTAGTATTTGGGGCAACATCCCAAGGTTCACCCTAAACCCTAAACACTAATTAACCCCTTCAGAGGGTTTCTATTGGCTGTTTAGGGTTTACGCAGAGTGTTTGTAGTCTTCGAGTGTCTGTAGGGTTTATGGGTTCGTA